AAAAAAAAAAAAAAAAAAAAAAAAAAAAAGATATTAAAGTCTTAGTATCTAATTAAAAATGGTAAAGGTTCCCCACAGACTGGCTGTGATATAGTAAACAATAAATACATGAATATGTAAAAGTCCTAGACATGCTTCAGTGACAGAAACCTCTCAGAGTCTCTTTGTCATTCCTTTATTCAACGAATATTTATCAAATCCCTTGTGGAATAAAAAACAATCTGTAGGGACTTCCCTGGTGGCGCAGTGATTAAGAATCCACATGCCGGGCTTCCCTGGTGGCACAGTGGTTGAGAGTACACCTGCCAATGCAGGGGGCGCGGGTTCACGCCCCGGTCCAGGGGGATCCCGCGTGCCACGGAGCGGCTGGGCCCGTGAGCCATGGCCACTGGGCCTGCGCATCCAGAGCCTGTGCTCTGCAGCGGGAGAGGCTACAGCAGTGAGAGGCCCGCGTACTGCAAAAAAAAATAAAAGAATCCACCTGCCAACGCAGGGGACACAGGTTCAAGCCCTGGTCCAGGAAGATCCCACATGCCGTGGAGCAACTAAGCCCATGCACCACAACTACTGAGCCCACGCACCACAACTACTGAGTCCACGCTCCACAACTACTGAAGCCTGTGCACCTAGAGACCATGCTCCACAACAAGAGAAGCCACTAAAATGAGAAGCCTGCACACCGCAACGAAGATTAGCCCCCACTTGCCGCAACTAGAGAATGCCCACATGCTGCAACGAAGACCGAATGCAGCCAAAAATAAATAAATAAATAAATAAAACAATGTGTAATAAAAAGATCAAAAGCTTTGGAGTCAGAAAAACCTTGGGTTTACTTCTGGCTCTGTCACTTAGAAGTAATGTGACTTTGAGCAATTTGCTTGACTTTTCCAAAGTTCAGGTGTCTCAACAGTTAAACAGGTATGACATCTCCCACTTTTCACGGTTGCTGTGATAGGGATAATCGTACTTACATCACACAACACAGTTTTGTGAAGGGTTTTGTGAAGTAAAATATATAAAGCCCCTTTCATGTTAGGAACTCAAATTTAAGCTACTTTCCCATATCAACTCCATGAAAGTTTTGTCACAGTGTAAAGGACTTCACTGATCTACACATATGCCACTAACATAATTTTGAAAATTTACCATAGCTATATAATATTTCCCATTACAATTCTCTTTCAAAATGTTCCAGAAGACAGACTGACTTCCACAATGGTGGAGTGAGGACTTTGGTGATCTCACTCTCCCTCTAAAACAGTGAAAATACATGCAAAACAACTAAACAACCAACATCAACCATTTCAGCACTTTGGCAATTAACCAAAACCCAGTACCCACTGAGAAGTGTCTATTCAACAGGAACAACTAAACCTTGGTAAGATAGTGGGGTCTTCAGTGTTTTAACTTAAGGTTATTTCATTTTCCTTCTCTCCCCAGCTCAACAGTAGCCAAAGTCAACAGCATTGCAGAAAACAGAGCTCTATTAAAAGCACCATCACCACTGGTCATCAAAATGGTCACTGAAAATGGAGGACAGGGAATCCCAAGACTCTAACGCTCCCCAAAAGCAAGTAATGAGCTGGCCAAAACGGTCAAAATCAACTTCTGAAAAACTCTGGAATACAGCCAAAGACTTACAACAACCAGGGGAAGCCTTGATGAAGAAAGAAGCCGTTGCTTTGTGGTAAGAAAGCACTGTGACATTTTAAACAGCCTGCCTATAATTCCCATATCCCAGAGAGGCAGCAGCTAAGAGAACAGCAGCCCATACTCCTGGTGCAAATTGCTAGGAAGCGATACAGACATTTTTGTCAAAAAATTGTGGCTGTGGGTCTCAACCTGTCTGGCAACTCCCATCAAGGACTGGTACAAAGGCTGCCCTTGTTTGGCCCAACTCTGAGCATTTCCAGAGCTAGGACAGGTTCCTAGGTGGCTTCTGCTGAAAACATTTAAAGGTGCAGGTATTGGCTGCAAAAGCTGGGGCATGAAACGACAGCTGGGACAAGCAATAAAAAGACCAAGAAGCCAGGGAAGGAAGGGGTTGGGAGAAGAGATAAATGTGGGAATGAGAGCTTTTAAAAGCTTCTGCAAATACCAGGGAATTAAAGTCATGCACATGCCCAAGACCAGGATACATGCTCAGAAAAGGTCTGAGAAGACTAGGCTTTCACATCTGGGGTCTTCTGGCTCCATACAAGCAGAAAGTGAGAACAAAGGCAGAGCTGTATAAAGCCTGGATAAGTGTTAAAGGAGGACTCCAACACAAAGCCAATCTGCAAACACTGGGAGAGTTTTTTAAATTTTCTTTTGTAAGCTTCAAGTGTTTAAGGTAAAATCTGTCAAAACACCATCTGAGCATTAAGCTAACAGAACAGATGCTTCAGTGGCCACACATGACAAAGAATACAGACTTTACAAAAACAGTTTAGAAAAGACTAAACAAGTGAACAACAATAATCCACAACAGATAGCAAGAACAAACTTTAAGGAAGGTGAAGAATCTGATTTCAAGACTGCCATCCACAGATGTGCTCCCTCCAGCAGAGTCTGGATATCAGTCATGGGAGCATGCTGTCTCAGCCCTAGAGTTGGTGATTGCTCCTTTTACCAGCTATTCCTGTATTCTTTAGAGTTATCTTTACTTCTGACTAGCTAATCTCTCATTACTCCAAATCCCCTGCTTTAGTTAATAATTCTTTATATTAAACTTTCCCTATTTAAATAATTGTGTGCTTTATCTCTCCTGACTGGACCCACACTGATAAACACTTTAAGAAACACAAATCAAGAAAAAGAGAGAGAAGGTACTAATGAGGCTAATGACATTAAAAATGTAACAGAGGTACTTCCCTAGTGGTCCAGGGGTTGAGAATTCACCTTCCAATGCAGGGGATGAGGGTTCGATCCCGGGTCAGGGAACTAACATCTCACATGCCACGGTGCAACTAAGACTGCATGTCACAACTACAGAGCCCATGTGCTCTGGAACCTGTGCAACACAACTAGAGAGCTGCTGCTCCACAATTAGAGAGAAGCCCGCGCACCACAACAGAAGATCCCACGTGCCGCAACTAAGACCTGACACAGCCAAAAATAAATAAATAAATATTTTAAAATATATATGTATAACAGAATAATTGGCAGTAAAGCATGAAAAGAAATGAAAAGTATTAGGATTGGAAAAGAATAAAACTGTCACTAATCTCGGATATCATGATAAACCATTAGACTTAATAAGGAAATTTGGCAAGGTTAATAACTACAAGGTCAATATGCAGAAATCAACTGTATATATAAAAAACAATGAAATTTAAAAACTGTAGCATTTATGATAGCATTTTTAAAATACCACTAAATAGGAGTAAATTTAATAAAAGATGTACAAGATCTCTACACTGAAAAGAGAAAAAATTATTGAGAAAAGCTAAAGACCAAAAAGTGGGAGGGTATTCTTCCATATTCATGGATTGGAAAATTCCATAATACTGTGGACAAAGAATGTTGCCTACCATTCCAGTAAACAACAAATGTTTCCACCATCAAGCCATCAGCCACTGCTGTCCCTCCTCCCCACACGGTGCACCCTGAAGGGATTCAGAATGGAGAAAAAGAGGTTACAGGCCCTAGATATGTAAGATGTATATCTAAGGAATAATTTCAATAAGCCCAGCTCTTACATCTTCTCATACATAGAAAAGCACTAAAATCACTAATTTGAGATATCTGGGTTTTGCCATTAGCAGTAGTCTTCTGATGTTTGACTACACAGTTTTTTTTCTCAGAATATATCCTGGCTCCTCCCTTACCTCTTCAGAACAGTTCCTCAGAGCCATCTGAGAGGCTGTTTCCTGGGCTATTTTCCTCAATAAGGTCCCTAAATAAAATATAACTCACAACTTTTAGATTGTGCGTTTCTCCCCCGTCAACAATATGTAAAGGTAACTTTACATACATCAAGTGACCTACACAGTTACTTGGTTCTGACAAAGGTAACATTGCAGTACAATGAAAAAAGGATGATCTTTTCAATGTTATGCTGGGTCAAATGGATAACCATATGGGAAAAAATGAATGTTAACCCCCTTCCTCATTCTTTACACAATAATAAACACTAAATAGATTATAGATCTAAGTTCAAAAGGTAAACAGTAAAACTCTCAGAACAAAACTTAGATGAATATATTCATGGCATTAAGTTAAATAAAGATTTCTCACATAAGATTTAAAATGCAGTAAACATAAAGGCAAAAAAAATAAGACTACACTAAAATTAGTATCTGTTCATCAAAAGACAAGCCTAAGATCATATAAAATCAAGCCACAGTAGAAGATACTTGAGATATACACATACATAATATATATATACCCACACATGCATCCAATAAAGTTCTTAAATTCAGAATTTTTAAAAACCTCTTAAAAATCAAAACAAAAAGAGAAAACCCAAAAGAAAAATGGGCAAGACTTGAAATAGCACTACACCAGAGTGACTATCCAAC